TGATTTTTTCTCTCCTTGCTGTTCTGTGCTACAGGAATGGAACATCGATCAGTTAAAAAGGCTGGCATCGAGGTCCAGGAAATCAAAGGTTGGTCAGCTTCCTCTGACGATTGTGAAACCCATAACTATTTGTGTTGAATTATGTCATGGTTTTTTATTGCACTTAAAAAATTATCAGGCTAAAAATATAATATGGTCAATTATCCATAACTTCTATTGTGTATTGAGTCTTTAAACCTGAACCTTGTCACCGCCTTTGCTGATAAATGTAGTAGTAATAATGAGTTCTGGCTCACCGACTTCTAGTGATGGAAGTGACTAAGGATGTAAGAAATCTATAATCATTGAGTGGGCCAGAGACATTCAGAGAGGGAAAACGCGTACGTCACTTGTGGAAATACGTTAACTGCAAGCAATCAGAAAAATACATTTTAGAGTGTTGGGAAAGATCTTTTCTTAATGGACTCTAAGCAAGAGAAAAACTTCTTTGCCGTGTTAATGCTATAGAGGCATAGTAAGAGTCAGTTGTTCCCTAAGCTCCTCTCTTACCATTTGTTCCCTCAATATTTTCTGAGAGCCTTTCAATAGAAGAGACTCTGAGCAGCACACACAGTTAAGCATATGGCTGTCACCTAGAACAGAGGTTCTCAACCTGTGGGTCGCGACCCTATTGGGGGTCGAATGACCCTTTCACAGGGTTCGCCTGATTCATAACAGTAACAAAACTACCGTTATGAAGTAGCAATGAAAATAATTTTATGGTTGGGGGGGTCACCACAATGAGGAACTGTATTAAAGGGTCTCAACATTAGGAAGGTTGAGAACCACTGACCTAGAAGTTATTGGTTTGAATCCACATAAAAGCATCTTGGGGAGGGGTGGAAGCATCTTGCTGGGGAAACCTGGAGTTCTGCTGAAAGACCAAAGCCATTGAAGTGCACTTCTGCTCTGAGCACATAGTTATCTCTGTGATGTAGAATCCCATTGATGATGACTGGAGGTTTTGGTTTGCTTTGGTTTCCATACTGTAGTGTCCAACGGAAATGAAACTAACCTCAAAAGGCTTATAGTCTATAAGGAAAGAGAAGATGTACATGTATACACACACATGTATATATGTGTCTCTACAAATCAGTATAAAATTGATATATAATATCAAGAATGGGAACATGGGATTTAGCTCCAGATAATCAGCCACTAAGTACATCTGGAATCCTAGATAAATCATTTTGTTCCTTTCTTAGAATCATTTTATATGTGTACATTTTCTGCCATCTGCAAGGTTTTGAGATGTGACTTAGAGTGAAGAACGCAGCGTGAGCGTCTTATGAAGTCCTTCTAATGTTTAAGTGGACGCATTATTAGTCATTTTATGAATGGTTCTCCTGGAGACTCAGATTTAACCCAAGGCTCGTTTGTTTTCCTGTCTCATGAAAGCAGGTGGAAAGAAATGAAAAGACGCAAGAACCAAGAGGGAGTTTAGACATTTTATATAGGCAGATAAGAAAATATAGCCAGCACAAGGTTGAAAAGGGTAAGATGATATTATGCAATCAATAAATAGTAATTGTGTAGCATTTATAGAATTTCTACTCCGGTAACAATATTTAGTGACACAGACATATTACTCTCCTATATTGAAGAAGGCTCTTGATCGCTGAATTTTCAATCATTACTAAATAAAGAAGTATTGATAAATTCTGCTTGCTTTGAAATAAAGGTGTTGGGAAAGATATTGTTAATAATAGCTATCATTTATGGAGCGTCCCTGAGGGATACAAATAGTTAACATACTCAGCTGCTGACCCAAAGGTTAGAGGCACCTCGGAAGAGTGGCCTGGAAAAATTCTTCTGAAAAAGCCAGCTGCCGAAACCCCTGTGGAGTTGACTTTGACACACGGGCATCACAGTAAGTCAGAACTGACTCCAGAGAGCTGGATTTTTCTTTCACTTAATGGAGTGCAAAGAGATGCCAACCTACTCAAACGCTATTGGGTTTAAGCCTTATGACAACCACACTGTGACTATTATCATAAGAGGAAACTGCAGTTCAGAATTCCTCCTGAGACAGTAAGAGGCTGGTTTTAAACTAAATTCTGAATTTGCACCAAAGCCTGGGCTTTTAACCACTATTACTCTATTACAAAGAAGGGATAATCACCACCAGTTCACTCACCATAAGTTCTTCTAAGACCCGTGAGGGGAATGCTTGTAATACCCTGAAACCTCTGAAATTCCAAGGGCCTCAAACTGTTCCTTTTAAATATAACTTAGCTCAAAAGTCCAGTTTATATCGGTTGACCTACTGAGAACAGTCCAGGGAAGCAGACTGCATCTTGGCTGCCCACTGGAGGGTGAACAGTGCTTTCCTGTAGGTCATTTCCTCTCTCAGTGCACATCGCTGAGTTCCTTTGTTTGGAAAACTACCCGACCTTGGAGAACTCGGAAGTTCAAGTAGTAAATGTTATTGAAATGTCTTAATGTGACATTTCCAAATCCCAAAGTACTGCCTTTCAAGCCAATCCTAATGTACAACAACACAATGGGGCACAGTAAAACTGCCCCTGTGGGTTTTTGAGACTACACATCTTTACAGGAGTAGAACGCCTCATCTTTCCTCAGAGGAGCAGCTAGTGGTTTTGAATTGCTGACCTTGCCATTAGCAGCCTAATGCGAAACCCACACCAACAGTGCTTGTTATGTTCCTTTTTGTTTGTCTCCCCCCGCCCCCGTTCTGTTCTTTTTTTTGAATCAATATGATACTCATTAAATCTTTTATTTAAAAACTTTACAATAAGAAATATAAAGCACACTGGATATCTTGTCTTTTATCAGAATCATGACGCTTCATTAAAACTACTGTTTCCAAAAAGAAAAAGAAAAGAGGGAACCAGCATCCTAGATTTAACAATCCTAACCAGTCCTATGGATCCATGTTAATTCTAAATCTCCAAACTCATTACCTTTGATGACACGGATAATCCCACATCGATGATCATATAACTGATCAGTGAGATCAGAGTTTCAGAGCCAGTGTTCTAAGGAATTTTCAGGGATAAGAGAATGTGGAATTCCAATGTTCAAATTAAGTTAGGAATGATAAAACAGATATAGTAAAAGATCACCAAGAGTATAGATAGCCTTCCTCCTCACCAACCTTCCATAAAAGATGGTGTTAATTCCGTTTCAAAAACATAGAAAGACATTTCCTAATGCAGTTAGCTTCTTAGGCATAACTGAGAGAAACTTTCCAAAGGAAGCTAATTGTTTTGTCTTGTGTTTCCTTTTTGAAAAAAGTTTTAAAGATTGATTTTGCTAGTGCTATCTGCACTGTCCATGCTTTCTGAAACGTTGCATACTAGCCTGCCATTGTGACCTCTAGCTTTAAGGTGTATGTCTCATGACCCGGGTAATGGCTGAGATGTCAGTGTGTTCACCATGCCCTTCCTTTCCTGTCCCAATGATTGCCAGTCCGTGTCGTCTCTGAGCATCTCTTCTGTCAAGAGCACATACTTATATTTGTATATGGGGACTGTAGTTACATGCACATACAGGAATGCACCTAGCTCCCGCTCAGAATGCATTCTTTAAAGAAAACGTGCTTTTATAAACCAGCTCTTTAAAACTGTCTTTGTTTCCAAGTGTCTCTAGTAATGTTACAAGAGTTTGTGTTCTTGTAAGGCTTGAAGACTTTTGTTTTAACTGGACTATATCTAGCATATTAATGGATAGAAATATGTCACGAGAGATCCCCAATCTTCCAGAAGTATGGGTTCTAGCTAATGTTAGAGCTTTTTAATTCCTTCTCCATCAGAAGTGCTCCAAATTATTAAGGTTTTTAATAAAATACTTTAGGGCAAAGAGGGAACATGGCAGGATTTAGATTACTCCTCTGCTTTTCATGACATCCGAAGACTCTTAAGTGATAACTATAACACACTTACTCCATCCATAGGTTCCTGAGAAAAGCAACATTTATTTTTAATTTGAGAAATGTCAATTTTCACCCTTCTTCCTTTAACCTAATTATCTTTTAATATCTAAGTAAACATCAGCTCGTTCTAAATGTTAGAATTCTCCAGGATTTCTAGTAGATGATGTATCAAGCCGCTGAAGTTAATGTGGAGATAAAGAATATTTGAAGTATCAGGAGTGTCTATCTTATCAAGGTGTTGCCTCATTCACAATAGAGTTTCTATGGATACTGAGCTAATTCTTACCATTTAATGGAGCCCAACCCTGGCTTTATCTTATGAAAGAAACTAGATGCACCTGGAGCAGCTATTATCTTAATTACAAGTAAACCCACTGAATGACAGGTAGGAAAATGCAAACTATTTAGTCAGGTTATAACCACCTCACATAGAAACAATTCCTTCCACCAAAAGCAACAAGTTCCTTGAAAGCCTGTGACCCCACAGTCTATTTATTGCTTACATATAAAATGTTTAAATGTAAAGTAAGTGGTATATCTTTTCTACATGAACAAAAATGAAAAGAGTAAACATATGTGGTCAAAAGGGTAAGGACACATTAGTATACTTTTCTCTTGAAAACTAAGACTCAGAAAGATGAACTTTGAACCACTTAGGACTGCGGGCTAGGCCCTTTTCTTTTCTCTTTCTCAAGTTTCAAGAGCTGCTCTAGAAACCCAGAGAAAAGAACGTATGGCCGCCCTAAACAATAGTACAGGACAGACAAGGAAGATGGCAAATCCTACTTTTAGAGACTTAAACAATATGAAATCTGAGCCTGTAGGTAATCTGGTAA